GAAGAAAACAGACTTCAAAATAGATAGAAACGAAATCTATTGGTAGTTTCACAATAGTGACTGATAAATGCTTTTGATAAATAGTAGAATGTATCAACTGAAGTGTAGAACAATCTCCTATCATCTCAAATCAACATTTAACCAAAATATGCGTATGATGATATTTTGCGCTGAATTCTATCGAAAACGCACATATATATGTTTGCGTAAATAACTAACCTGACAAATAAGAGAAGAATTTGAAAAGGTTAATAGACATTTATGTTGACTAATAATAAATAGGAAAAGAGAAATATCGACAAAAATAAATCTTAAAAAATGTTATGACTAAATTTCTAAATAAAAAGCATTGACCTTTATTTTTAGGAGAGGAAACATGAAATGATTTCCTGTTCATAACATTGAAAAGTTGTAATTATAAATAGTTTCTATTAGTTTTTGTAGAAAATGTTCCCAAGAGGACAGTAAATCTTTAAATCTATTAGAACCATGGCAATCAGGTAAGTTTCTTTCAAATGTTTGGTGTATAAGCTAGTCACCAGACAATATATTATTCATTCAGTTATTGTAAAACCAAAACTGCTTATTAGTAAAGCGTATGTTTTTGTTTTGCAGTAAAATACAGGTTAACTGTGTCAATGATAGCTTCATTCAATGTACAATTCGCTGAAAATTCCATTTACCGACTCTTCTAGACGAAATCAACAACCCCATGGGCCATTGGGTCGGGTCCCAGTGGCTTAATGGTATACGAACTCGCCTTGTAACCAGAAGGTCCTGGGTTCGAACCCCGGTGGGTACGTACTGATGAAGAGTCCCAAACTAGGACGAAACATCTGTCCAGTACTCCCAGGTTTTCCAATGGTTCTCTAACCAATGTCAGCTCATGATGAAATCCTGTAACCAATCAACCAAATCCCTACAAACCAATACTTGAAACTCTTTTTAACTAAAATAAAGAAGTATACTACTTTGATTGGACACTTGTCAGTAAATAGTGTAGTGTGTCTAGTCCTATGTTTGAGGCAGACTGTATTCTATCAGTCAATTTTGCTATGTAGCGAGCATTCTAGGTGGCTCGCCATCAATGTGCACTGTGAATTGTTCATATCAGATGGTTGGAAGCAATCAGTAGGAAGCCCAGTCAGCAAGGTGCATCTGCAACCTTGAAGGAACTCATGTCCCTTCTGAAATTCGAACTCACGTCACCCAGTGCCGCAGTCACAGACGTTACCAGTAAGCACTGTGCAGCGTGGTGGCGAACCACCTAACATGGTGGATACATTGCAAATACATAATTAAGTCTTCACCAAACAAAGGACTAGACACTTTACCCTGGGTTCCAAATAATGTCCAATGAAAGTATCCAATACAGTCCTACAGGAGCTCGACGTCGAGCCCGAATAACTCAGTGGTAATGTCCCTGACTGCAGCACTCAGTGATTCTGGTTAGAATCTCAGAAGGGACATGAATTCATTCAAAGCTGCAGATACACCTTGGTGACTGATGAGTGCCAACTAGCACGAAACCTAGGTCGAAGCCTTCCTGCCGATTAGCTCCAACCATCTGATAATGATATTAATTTTCATTATTTTCAGTGCATAATCAACACACGTAAATTTAATTCGATAACTATTTTACAAGTATGCATATAACTTATCAGACTGTCGAAAAAGAATTTCGAATTGAAATTCCATCAGCAAAATAGTAAATTTATTTTAATTAATTCCATAAGTCTAAAATATTTGACGAAAAAAGTAAAAAAAAGTAACATTCATATTGTGTGAAAGATTTGTAATGCATTAGATGTCATCTATTAGTCAACGCATAGTCTATACAAACAAATGGTATGCAAGTTACAGTTATTTCAAGCGTTTACTGAGAAATACACCACCTTAGTTTGTTCTCAAAAATGGTTAAAAAAGGTGAACTGCATCTCTTCTGTGCATTACTAGAAAGTGTGTTTGGGTTATAGCATTAATAGAAGTATGAATTGCTGGTATATATAAATAGATTAGAAGTAAATCATTGGTTATATTCATAATAATGTTTTTAGTTACTGGGGGCGTGGTTAAATCACTGAACTACCAAATGTTTCCATCCGTGAACATATATCATAATATATATATTTACCATAATGGATAAATTGTTTGGAAAATCCCTTCTGGACAAACTATTTATAATGTTTATACTTATTTAGACATTTCAACTAACTTTGTAATTATCATACGTTATTCCCCTAGATTGGGTTTCATTAATTTGAAATTTTCATACCACATGTTGATTTTTGATCTGTATTAATCACCTTTGTCTTTGTTTAATCTTTTATTGTAATACATTTTGGGGGTTATGTGTACACTGATATTGTTGTTGTTTACCGATGTAAGTTTTTCTGAGTTTGTTTCGAAGGTCATTCTGACCTTGGAGGCCTTGGTGGATGGTTCTCGTACTTGTTTTGTATTTAGAACCATGCATTGTCTGTATGTGTGCGTCGCTGGCCCAGCGGTTAGGACGCTCGCCGACCATGCACATGGTCAGGGGTTCAATCCCCGGCTGGCGCACCTATTTACCTCGCTAAGCCAGAAACAAAGCTGGTAAAGAGGAAAGGTTGGGCATGAGGTTAGCAACCGCATCCTGTAAAAATAGTCACCACTGCTACAGAAACTTCAAGCCACCAGCTTGAAGCCCCATGTTCCACTGGAACATGAAGGAATAAAAAAAATTGTCTGTTTAGTTACCTCAAGCCACAGTTGAGTTAATTTTGAGTTTAATGTTATTATGCTTTAATAGAACCGCTAAAATAATGGGGAATAATCGTCTTTTCCCTGCCTTTGGAGCGTTTCGTGATAGCGCGTGTCTCGACCAAGTTTTGTCGACTATACAGTAGAATGTAGAGACCAGTTTCTTGTGCTCAGGCGGTATTCGAATAAATTTGGTCACTACATTTACTACTGTTCATTTGTTTTAATCAATGAATTACTTCCATGAATAGCAGTCTATGCCCACAAACATTTTCAAATAGATTTCAATCTTGGGAGTACTGGACAGCTGTTTCGTCCTAGTTTGGGACTCTTCAGCAGTACGCACCCACCGGGATTCGAGCCCAGGACCTTCTGGTTACAAGGCGAGCTCGTATACCATTAAGCCACTGGGACCCGATCCAATGGCCCATGAAATCTAACTTCTGCCAATTCACTGCTGAAGAGTCCCAAACTAGGACGAAACAGCTGTCCAGTACTCCCAGGTTTTCCAGTGGTTCTCTAACTAATGTCAGCTCATGATGAAAATCCTGTAACCGATCAAATCCCTACAAACCAACATCTGAAGATTTCAATCTATTGCTATGAGTTTGTTTTTAAAGGGATTCGAGGAAAAAATTGTGCAGTATTGCATCAACTTTCGAGTTGTACAATATTACTTCAAAAAAATGCATAATCAGTCATTACCTTACTCGAAGACCTTGAAAAAAAGGTAACTGCTATTGCAATAAAACACGGTGAAAATTCTGTACTGTGTATAAACGTATTTTTATAGAACAAAGCTATTATCATTGTTATAATGATGTATGTGTGAATTTAAGACTGGACTCATGAATAATTATTAACCTTGACTTTGAAAAAACAAATCACTCTGCAATTAAGAAGTCGTAAGCAACCTTGGTGTAAATGCATAATGAAATTTTAACACAGATCACTAATAGACATTTTTATTCCGCTATTAAGTGGGCATAATTCTAGTGTTAGATAATTTTAATGACGTAACAAAATTTTCATCATCTGACTGAACTGAAAAGTTGTTAAAGAAAAGCATTTATTGATCGACGAGTTTATTGATTTTCAAAAGATAAATAAAAGTGGCAGGTACAGTCTACCAGTTCAAAAATCTCTTATGTCGTGATTTTAACTGTTTCAGTTACATAAGTTTATTTGATATGTATGTACTCTATGGAACAAATAAGAGTGTATGTGAAATCCTTTGTTAATGGGACAGAAATTCTAAGAAGCAGTAATAGAAACAGAAACGCGGACTAACAGACATCAATACGTCAAAGTACATTAATCCAAGATTTCTATCCCACAAACGGCAAAAAAGGAGAATAAGATGTTGAATAAAATTTATAACGGGTGAGAGATAAAGTTGATAAAAGTCAGTGAAAAGTTTGAATATATCAAAAACTAGGTGCACTTACAGTGATGTGAACAATTTCGCCCTAATAACCAATTCTTTTTACCACCTCAACGAACATATCCAGAAAATCTGCAATTTATCACATGGCTCATGTTAATAGTTTAAAAAATCTTGGTTTGCCATTGTATCTTAGCCTAACCACCATTGTTTTATGACTAATCTAATCTTTTTTTGATATTATTATTCATCGCTTGTGTACCTAGAGATAGTATATGGCTTCACCAGCACATGTCCATCATTTTTAGGTGACTTCTCTCCACCCATTGACTTTGATTTAGCCTTCACATGGTGCTTTTATGTATCCCTCGGACCCACCCCGCCGCTTCCTATTTGCGTTCCTAATTTGGACCTGGTGTGTGATGTCACTTGAATGTCTCTCCAGATTATGCACAGTCCATCTGTATTTCCTCCTGCGAAATTGTTGGGGAGTAGTTTTCAAACTGGCTCACTTCTGGATTTCTTTGATCTTGAGTAGTAGATCAGCGAAAGCAACGTCTGATGAGGGCTTGAAGCCTGTCGGAACTGCTTTACATGAAATGTCAGGCTTCTGAACCACATACAAGCTCATTAGTTTTGAAAAGCCTGATCTAGTTCCTTGTGCTAGATGCTACAGATTTCCACACTGATTTCGAAGGGATGAACACCTGTCTTGCTTTCTCGATCTTGTCTGCATTTAACATCTTCATCCGTATCACCTGGAGTTGAATCTCATAATAGGCAACATAGGTGATTATCTCACAGTGCCTCACTGCATAACTCAGTGATATGAATAATAAAACAGAATATGAAAAACTTGAACATTTTTGCCTACCTGGCTGGTTTCAGTACACGTTGTAGATGTTCATGTAATTTACACGCATTTGCAATATTTGTCGGTATTCGAAGTCGTTTAATCAAAGCATCAAAATCAAATGATGCATCAAGTACCATGTATGCACCATGTAAACCACTTGCTTCAATTCCATTTGTAAAATCCTAAGAAACAAAAAGTAAATATTTACTTGTTATCTACTGAACATACTAAATGATTACAAAGTACTGCTTGCTACTGAATATTTATTATAAAATATATACAACTGTTAATAAACATGCTTTGATAAAAGAAGTTTACTTCCAGTAAACAACTGTATTCTCTGAATAAAATGTCATTAAAGGGGAAACCGTAAGTGTTCTGAAAGTTCCTTAAGATTTACTATGTTTACCGGAGATATTTATTTACTTCTATGTGTAATTTCAAAGCTATGGGGAAAAGAAACCGACCTGAAAATGTTTATAACGCTTTAAAAATGTTCAAATGAATTAGGTTTATAAAATTAGAACAACGGAGGAGTCACGACATTCGGTGAAGGGAAGTAGGAGCATAGCTGAATCGGCCTGACTGTTCAGCAAATTGCTGAACAGTGAAATCGAATGCTAGTTTTTCCAATTCTTCATTCTATTTACAATTTTAGTATACGGGATTTTATGAGGATTTGGATTAACTTCAACGTGGATTTTGCCACGAACCAATATCAGTTAGACATCACTGAATGCCAGGGAGCACTGAACAGTTGTTTCATCTCAGTTCGGGACCCTTTAGCAGTGTGCACCGATGACCTGGCCAGGGATTAAACCTTATATCTTCAGATTACGAGACCAAGCACGTTCAGTGTTCAGCCACTGAGGCTGAGATTCACTGGCACGTGAATTCTAACTTTGTCATTTCGTGATGTAGCAACATCCTCAATGAGTATCCATTTCAACTCGACATGGTGGGCCACTTCTTCTCAATATATTTTCAGGAAATCCATCCAGTAACTACCCGTAGTCTGATGAGTGGAATTTAGATTATGTGTTTCAAAATTTGAGAAAATCTCTTAGTTGTCCTTTGAAATATATATATTTGGTACATAATTTCCCGAGTAAAATAAAATCACAATACAAGTGCGAAGGTGTTGAGCTATTTTTAGAATTTGAACCCGAATTTACACCAACGTAGTAGTTTGAAACATCTTCCTTAATGAAATAACCTGTAGTCTCCTGAATACAGCAGATGGTGTAAATTAGAAACTTTCCAGTGAATGACAGTAGGAATAAACCTTGAAATAATGATACACATTAAGTTGTGATTAAGTATTTGCTTTTCAGAAAACATTTGTAATTAGCATGCGTACATATTAATGAATATATAATTTTTTACTTTTAAGCAGTGTCTGATCTCTGCCAATTTTATATCCTCAGTTGTTTTTGTGAGGCAAATCATAATTTGTTAAGTTTTTATTTGTTTTCTCTGTTCGGTGAAATAACCATATGTGAAGAATTAATTAGTTAACACTAATCACTTAGAACTATGTACAGTCTTATGGAGGCCCGCATTTAATCCTCAATTTAAACCTGTGGTAATAAGAGCTGAGACCGGGAATCCCACCACGAAGCTATTGACGTTAAGGTTGTAGAAATTATTGTGGTGTTCAAAATAGCCGTTGGATTACAACTTATGCGCGTTTTTCTTTTTCAAGTATGTCGGTCGATACCTACTGGTTTAGTGTGTGATGTCGTCAAAGTGGTAAATAATATGCAGTTAATGTGTGTATCTAAGATGTAACACGTAGTGTTGAATGAAACTGTATGGTGGTTTACAGCACTTTTGTATTCCCCAGCATGAAGGACTTAGTCTTGCACCTAATTGGTGAATCACAATGCATACGGGATAACTGTTTTATTGACCACCCTGAGATTAACTCGCACGACCTAATTAATCCACTCATTCAACCAACAATACTGAAATACATAGTAAACTGTAAAAATATCTATTCAGTGTTTTCATTGATAGATATAAACAGTAAGTGTGAAATATACAAATGCCAACTTTTAGTTTAAGTGACTAATTAATACAAACTGATATTTTTTGTGGTGTGAAAAGAAGTATACAATAAAAGATGAAAGGAATGCTTAACACTTTCATTAGATTGTTTTATTTGTTTCCTTATGGAATATTTATGTATCTATTCACTGGAAAAGCAGAAAAAGCAGTGTGCTATTCATCAATGTGAAGTATAACAACTAAACCTTAAAATCAACTCTGTAATAGATTATGTGTCAAGCCTGAACTATGGAGGCGTGCAATTGTCTTTTTACACTTAACCTACACCCCTTTTAATTAAACACAAATGCAGAAAACCGATTGTTTACTTCTGTTTTGTTTACGTGATCAATTGTATGATCTAGTGTGATTATTCAATACATTATCAGTTGACTGCAGATGATAAGATCTTGCAGTATCTCTGTCTGAATGATATTTATAAAAGAAATTGATTTGTATATCAGGAAATAGTACATCTAGTGTAATTCTGCTGCAATGCTTGATCGATTCGAAAGTTGATCTTATGAATTATTTATATAATATTCAATTTCATAAATGTTGGCAACGCATATTGCCTATGTATTAATATCAGAGTTAAAAGCAAACATACGTAGAAATGTAAATAGATTTAATGCTTGATTAAGGGTTAATATCAGTTAGAGAGACATTGAAAACCAGGGAGCGCTGAACAGCTTTTTCTTCCTAGTTTCAGACCCATTGGCGAAACGCATTCACCGGGTTTCGAACACAGGACCTTCTAGTTACAAATCTAGTTCGTAGACAATTCAGCCACTGGGAAGTGACTTAATGGCTAACCCATGAATTCTGACGTGAATTCAGCGCAACCACAGCCATTGTGATCACTCCTGCTGGGTGGAGACCACAGGTCACTTCTTCTAGTGGGTACGGAATTTCGATGAGTCCTAAGCAAGGAATAAATAGCTGTCCAGTACTCTCTGGTTTTCAATGGTTCTCTAACTGATCTCAATCCTTGGTAAAACTTGAAATAAATCAAATCCCTACAAACAAACTCTTGAAAATAGATTTGAGTTGGATAATCCCTAATGTTGCATTATCTAAATTTCTGGTTTCAATGAAAATATGTAATAAGTAGTAAACAGAATAAAACTTACTTTTAAGCCTAGGTCACATAACCATTTATTAATATGATCATTAGTCCAGTAGAGAAGATCTAATTCACCAGGCTCTGAATTAGTACGAATCTTCTCAATAGACTGTAATAAAAACAAACAATTGTAAGGAGAAAGTGAAATATATGAATTTATAGGCTCTTAGTTAAATTGTATAGTTCACCTTAGGTGATGTTTAATAGGAAAGACAACCGATAAATGGTAGTAAAGATGTGTATATGCAGTACGTTTCAGTTTATTTCAGTTCAAGGCCTAAATTTAACACTAAAGTTAATCAGTTGATTAAATAATCTACGATTTCAAACTCAGCTCATGAGTTATTTTTGTAGCCAACAATAAATATTTAATGATTTTTAAACCTTCGTTAGTTCTTTAACTCATGAATGGTCTTTATATTGATAAACTTTAGAAAACTTCTTGACTAATTCTTTGTAACATCAGGACCAAAACTTTCACTTTTCACATTAATTAGAATGTATCCATTGTGCCTAAAGTTTACTTGCTTGTTATTACGAATATAACTGTCACTTGTGTCCAGTGAGCAGTTCTAAATATGAAGTTCTGCCTGTGAATGATAGCATGGATTATGCAATTTGCAACACAGTTTCAATGGTTCTCATAATTTAGATGGATTGTGAGAACTGCATTAAAATCAGCTAATGCCCCTTAGTACGCCTCAAATGTAGGAAAAGCGATTTATGATAATTTGAAAACATATTGACTGTAGTAAGTGGAGAATAATTTTTTCAACGTCCAGGTAAATCTGCCTAGGTGAAGCCGAATTAATTAATTAAATAAATCAGGGAACTTGTAGAAATTGTAAATTAAGTGTTCTCTATAGCGTGTCCATCGTCCAAGAATAGCAACACACTCGTTATGCAGTAAAACTGAGATACAGTCAAAGTTTATTTCACCTCAATTCTCATATCAGTCTAACAACCCAAGGCTGTCTTAGATTATTTAATTCACTGTTATCATTTTCCCTTTTTCATACCACTTAGATCAAATATACTTGGGCTTTGAAGTTGAATGCTACGTTAGGAAAATAATCTTTTAACTTTACTCGCTAATCCCATTTATGTTGAAGCACTGAAACTGGTGGATAGGTATCCATACACGATTAGTTGAAGAATATTTAGAAGAAATATCATGCGGTTGGACACAATTCACATTTGTTGTGTGAAGGCGAATGATACAACCTATTTGCCCAAACCTAGGTAGGTGTACTAAGGTTCAAACATGTTACCTAAAGACTGGAGGTTGTGCAAGCAGATCAATGAACCATAGCCCATAAAAATGACTCCCCAGATAATTCTGATTCAAAAGAAAGTCATTTAACGAAATAGCACGAATGTTTTTTGACAGTAAAAATGAATTTCAGTTACTTTTCAGAAATGCATAAGATTACTATTTTTAGAAGTTTGAATATTGTTATCTTATTGTTCCCTTGGGTTCCGAGTGGAACACAGGGCTTCAACAACACATCCCTACTTTGTTCTATTTTCTGAAGTACTCTTTAGCTGTGTCCACGATTGCCCATAATCTCTCATCTCCTCCTCACACGATCTTCTCCATGTCACCCGTGGACCTACTCCTAACTTTTCGCTTCCCATTCAGCTTCCACTCGAGGGCCTGGCTCTGGCGCGCGATGTCTTTCATTGGTCTCCTCGGTGGTGTGTTCCTAGTCCATCTCCATTTTCTCCTACATATTTGCTGAACGATAGGCTCTTGGTTAGTTTGTTCCCATAGTTTCCACCTGCCAATTTTTTCAATACGGAGCCAGAGGAGTCAGCTGTTTATAAGAAGTCTGCACCCAGTTGGAAAAGCTTTTCATGACGCCAGTACCAAGTTTCTCACTCATATAGAAGAAGTGACTGACTTAACACTGGTGTTGAGGATTCGAATCTTGTTCTCTATGCTGAGTGCAGACAATTTCCAAACTGGTTCCAGATTGATGAAGGTGTATCTTGCCTTTCCGATTTAAGTTTGAACAAAGATGAAGTAAATCTGGTGAAGACCTTGAAAATAAATATAATATCGTTTCAAAGAATCAGGATGGTGTTTATGTTTATTAAAATGCAATGTCACTATTATCTGTACCTCTCACATTTTTGACTCACTCTTCAGAATGAAAGAAAACTGGTTAGTTTGTAGTTATCACTTTAATTTTAAATGCTTTAAGGCTTGAGAACAGAATGTCATTATTGAGTTGTTAGATTGACTGGAAAGAAAGAAAGTGGTTGAATCAGTCACTCTTTAAAGCATTTTGCTTGAAATATCGAAAACGTTTTTATACATAACATTTATACCAGGTGCTTACCTCTACATTGAAATTATGGTGATGTAGTAATTCAATTGCTGCGCGTAAACTTTCTGCCTCTCTTTTACCAAGTGAATATTTACAGTCAATAGGCAAATCTGCACCACTGTTTGACGATGATAAAGAGACTTTAGAAGATAAACCCAATAAAATATGCAACATTTCTTTGCGGCCGGATACATGCCAATTACGTCCAGGGGATTCCACATTATTAATATTATTACTGCCATTTTGGTGAGTATTATTAGTACCGTTTCTAGATGAAATTGACGTGACGGAGTTAGAATTAGTATTATTGCTGTTGATGCTGATGACTTTATTAGATTTCACATTGACGAGATTTTGTTCAGAATAATTCTTCAAGGAGATTTGATCATCAGTAGGATTAGAGATGACTACATTGCTTATATTGTTATCAGTATTATCATCGGTATGTTTACTTTTACGTTTACTTGAATGATGACGATGTCTACCATGACCTGAATGTTTAACACGTTTATAAGAAATTAAGCTGGCCAACATTCGACCGTCTACGCGACGTATTGCAAATAAAGGAATTAATTGTGCAAGGCCTAAATGATGCTTTAACCAAGTATCACAAATCCACTGATAAGTTATATGACTAGCACCAGGATGACGGGATAAACCAGGTGGTCCATGTATGCGTAGATCTTCTAATGCTGAAAAAAATTTCCTACGTAATCCTGCATCACTAGAAAGAAAAGAAGGAAAAAGAACACAAATAAACAGTGAGAATTACAAATTCCAGATTTTATTAGTTCAGGAAATGTTTTGCGTGTACCATTTAATGATATTTTTTGAAGAGTTTAAGTAAATAGTTTGAAAAAGCTAATTATGAGGGAACTATATAACTAACTTTTTCCAACTGTTTATGAACTCTTATATAAGCTAGTGATATGTATCAGTGCAAGCTGCTCAGTACTGCTATTGGCTCTTAGATACAATACAAATCAAAGTGTGACAAACATTAGGTACCATTTAGTAATCTCTAGATGAGTGAACACACCTTAGAAAATTCATTAATTGACCACCTCTTTAAAGAAATCACTTTATAATCCTGCAACTAAATACTGTTTCTAATCAGCTACAAAAGAATACTTTACTGGATGAAGTGATACATAAAATAAAAAAATATTTATTTAGCTGTTTAAAATGTATGTTTCACTTGGAGTGGACTGGCTAATTGTACATGTAGTGGAAAATGAATTGGAATACTGACTATTAAAAGTTTCAACACTGATCGCGAACTAATTTCATTTAGAGAACCACTGATAACCTGGCAGTATTGGACAGCTGTTTCGTCCTCGTTTAGGACTCCTTACAGTACACATCCCTGACCTCACAAAGGGCGAACCCAGGACCCTCAAGCTGACCGTCTAGCTATTGGGACGGAATCCAGTTCCAGCTTCTTCCAATTGGTGGCTTATAGTGTGACCACAGAAAGTTAAAAAAGCGGAGAAATTGTTCAACAGAAAGCCTTCAGTTAAGATAACAATTTTTCTGAACTTTTATTCCTACAACTATCGGGATTAAAATCACTTCTGATAGCAAGCAGTGATGTTAAAGCATACCCTTAAATCCACCAGTTCCAATAAACAAATTTTGTCACTCCGTGTTAGTAAGTGCTATTTGATAGTCATGCCTAGGTGGCAGGCTTTGGAGTTAAACATATAAAACTGTATCTTCATTATTTCATCATAGTTTATGTGGCTTATTACATCAGAAATGCTGCGTCTTTACTAATATCCTAGTGGCATTCAATGAAATCAACCAACAACAACAGCAGCAGCAACATCCAGCGCCAATCACCATCAACGAGAAGGGTTTGAAAGAGGTTACTTCATTCACTTATCGAGGGAGCATTGTCTCAACTTCAGGAGGAACGGACGAGGATGTCAAATCGAGAAGGCTAGACACACATTCATCAACCTGAAACCAATCTGGAAATCTTCGTCACTCAGCATCAACAATAAAATTCGGATTTTCAATACAAACGTCAAATCAGTCAGTTCTTCTATACGGATGGATCAGAAACTTGGCGGGTCACAAAGAATATTTCCAACAGCCTGTTGCAGACCTTTATCAACAACTGTCTTCGTTCTATACTGAAGATCAGATGGACAGAAAGGATCAGCAACAAGAAACTATGGGAACAAACCGCCCAAAAAATATGTAGGAGAAATTGGAGATGTATTGGACACTCGCTGATGAGGCGGCTGGTTGACATCGCGCGTCAGGCCAATGCTAGAGTGGAACCCGAAAGGGAAGCGGCGAGTGGGACGTCAGTGCAAGGGTGACATGGAGGAGATCGTGTGAAGAGGAGCTGAAACAGTATGGACTAACATGGATGCAGGTGAAAAGCACTGCAGAAGACAGAAGCAAGTGGAGACGTGTAGTTGAAGCCCTATGTTCCACTAGGAACAATAATAATAATTCAATGAAACTGATGTATTTTGAGGGAACGTTATGACACTACATGGTAGTGACTGCATATATATCATTTTATTAATAAGAAAACCTGTCAGTAGACACATTATTCATATGATTTATTATTCTTCATCATCTAATTATATACTGGTCTTGTTTTAAGAACAACTTCATAACAAATGTAACCGGTATAAGTATTTGCTCCAACCTATAGGTTTTATTGATTATTTCCTAGTTAAGGAAAGTTCATGAAGAATTTTACATACTTTTAATTGTAAGATATTCAGCAGATCATCAGCCAACAAAGCGAATGAAGCAAATGTTTTGAAGAAAAAAATATTTACTTCCGCAAAACCACATCTGTCGTTTTACAGTGTATTAAATATTCATTTAATCAAATGTTTTCAAAGATTTTCATTCCCGAAGAAAGCCATCATGACATAACCATGTTAGAATTTGAAAACAATTTCTTACTTATTTTAAAGGTCAACAAAATTTATCCGTTTCATTTACCACTTTTATATAATGACCGACTGAGCATCTATAAGACTTATTTTATGCTTCAGGATGACTGTTAGTTTTTAGAAATTAGTTTCAACTTCATTTCCACAGACTTTAATGTTGACGTAAAGGCTTCTAATACAAACTCTTCAACAATACCTTATGGTTACTTTGGTATTACTTGGTTGATGGTGACTAGTACAGGGAATCCACAAATCACGTCACCTCCTAATTGTGACTCATCAGTTGGGCGTGCCTCACTTCCTATTGAATGGTGAAATTTCCATTCAAACTCATTACAACACTCTGTTTTGTCAATTGTGATGAATACTTTTCACAATTTCCCTATCTAGTCATTATTTCAGTAAGTATAATCAACTTTATGGTAAGCAAAGGATATTTTTCCAATGTAACATTTCATCTTAGAAATTTGTAAGATACAAATTTGTACTGTGGATGTTAATCTCACATTAAATGATTAAAAACTGGCTAAATTTTGTATATTTTTTTCTATTTGATATTAGGTTATGAGAAAGGTAGGCATAATCAGTCAGTTACATTAATCGATATATATTTTATTCGTATATATAATATTAAACATTGTTGTTATACACTGTAGAAACACTGGCTAGTCTATGTTAGGCAATGAATGTATTCTTCTGTCAAGTTATATAAAATAAAGATATAAAACAAATCATGTAATATCTGTTATAAACTTTGATATCAGTAGAGTTTATACAATGCACATGACTATATAAAATAATCAAAAAGTGAAATATTATTATTATTCCTTATAATATTTTGTTTCTGAGGTTGTTTTAAGAGTATGCATGGTTAGTTCACGTATACAAAGTGAAATATGTATTTTAGTCGAATAGTTTTTTGTTATATGCTTATGGATTGTTAAAGCTTTCCAAAGAAAACATGTTAAATAACACATTATTAAAGAACTTTTATTTATTTTTTTAAATTTTTGATCGTAGCTTGATTCCACACAGTATTTTGGCAGAAGTATGAAATTTTCAGCATGTGATATCGGTAGCCCAGATTTAGCAGGCCGACCATTTAAATATCAGGTGTGCGTTGGCCGGTGATTGAACCCCGGACTATATCCGATGGTCGGCGAGCTTTCTAGCCACTGTGCCACCGACGCTAAATCTTACGCTTTATTATTGAACATTGAAAGAATTATCTCTTTTCTTACTGGATAAATGTTCAATTAGCTAGGTTGTCTGAGTATTTTTAAATTTGAACAAAGCAAGAACTGCAGTTTTAGCAGAATAAAATGGTGTCATCATATATTTCGTTGCCTTCTCTTACAGGGCAAAGACTTTATTAAATGTATCTACAGAAACGATTTTAACATGCTTGCACAGAGTTCATTTTAAACAAAAATCTGTCGATCAGTATACGCATACACTAATAATATATACATATATATGCAATATTAAATACAATTCCGAACAATAATAATAATCATACACAATGAAAACTTTTCAGCATCTCGCATTCGGATGAAAAATATCTAGTTACCATGGCAAAGAAAGACTGATAACCGCTTCTTTCTGAACGCACAAATCAGGTTTCAGGCACTTGATGGAAATGGCTTCAGCAAACTTAAGGAGAATTGAGCTCTTTTGCTTATTGATAACTGAATTTTTAAATTATCCTGCATAGTTGGAGACAATGGTATGAAACTTATGGATATAATTTACTTGAATGTTGGTACTCATTTCAATTCTGGAAGAATTACTGCTTTTCATTGATTTGAAATCGCTTCATTGAGTACAGCAGTTAAGGTGTTAATTCTGAGCTGCATAGATCATAATGACAATAAAAAAGTCGGCTGACAACTTATTATTATAATAATTCAGTTAGGTTCCGAGTGGAATATGAGGCTCCAGCAGCACATTTCCATTTCACCTTGTTGTCTTTAGTCCTCTTTAGTTGGCTTTACGATTACCCATAAGCTTTAATCTTTTGATCACACTCTAGAAAGCCCACTGTGTTGTTTCTTATTCGGGTTCCACCCAAGGCTTAGCCTTACAGGTGGTCCTTAGCAATAATTAATGGCTAGTTATTTGAAAGTAAATACTTATCAATTTCACTGTTATTACTGACACATTCAAAATCCGGGTTCATGAACTTTCCTACATACCATCAACCTTAAAAGTGTAATAGGGAAGCTTTTAACTTTGCTTAAGTATTGTAAAGTGTTAGGAAGATTCGTGTTAACAAGGGTTATTCTACTGAGACTAGTCATCATTGTTTGTATATCCACATATAACTATAATTAGCATATACTTATTGATGAAACTTGATTATGCATTACTTATGTAAGTCAGAAAAAGAAACGGGCAACTATTTTAAAGAAATAAGAAATACTATCACAAAGAAAATTGATTATTTACAAAATTGTTATTAAAATATATAACGTTTTCAAGTATGATAATCATTTTATAATTCTGACCGGTTTTTACTGTACATAATTATTACTTATTGTTTAACTGTACTTTGCTTTTATCGCACTCAGTACTATAAATGAGTTACATTGGTAAATTCGTCTATGGTCAGTGTGCATTTCACGGTATTTTTCAATTTTCAAGTATTGGTTTTGTAGGGATTTTGTTTGATTGCATGGAGAATTTCACCATAAGCTGACATCAATTACAGAACCACTGGAAAAGCTGGGAGTACTGAACAGCTGTTTCGTCCTAGTTTGGGCTCTTCATCAGTATGCATCTACCGCAGGGTTCGAACCCA